CAAGAAAAAGCGAAATCTGGTTATTAAAAAATCCGGAAAGAATTAAAGAAATTGGAAAAGATTATCGCCCAGTCCTAATAATTAGTAGTGATGAACGAAATGAATATAGTCTTTCAGTGGTTGGTTTACCATTAACTACTGATGATTTAGAAAATTTTTTACCAGTGCAAGTTTTTATCAAAAACACACCAGAAACCGGTTTAGGTGAACCAAGCAAAATTTTGTGTGATTCTCCTTTTACTTGAGATAAAAAAATTCGTTTTGATAAAAAATTAGGAATAGCCAACAAAGAGATAATGCAAAAGGTGAAAGTGGCTTGACAAATTGCTTTTGATGTTGAAAGTTGGTAATTGGCATTATCTTTTGAAATGTTTTCGAATTGTAAATTAAACAATAAAAATGTATTTAAATGAAAATCAACATTGCGATTGATGGTCCAGCTGGTTCTGGCAAAACTACTCTTGGTCGAGAACTAGCTCGAAGAATCGACTATCATTTTCTTGACAGCGGACTTTTTTATCGTTACTTTGCTAAACTCCTTACTGAAAATGGTTATAATCCTTTGGAAAAAGCAAAGGTGATAGAGTTTTGTTTGCAAAAGAAAACAGTTATTGCTAAGGATCCAAAACTTTTTTTCCAGAAATTAGAAAATCAGCAAATCATTTTGTCTCACCCCAAAGTAAGTAATTTGGCTTCACTTTTTTCTCCAATTCAAGAATTAAGACAAATAATTCGTGAGTTAATTAGGGAATTATTAAAAAATAAAGGATTTGTAGTAGTTGGTCGTGATATGACCTTTAAAGTATTACCCGAAGCAGAAGTTAAAATATTTCTGACTGCTAGTCAATCAAAAAGGATTGAAAGAAGATATCAACAATTAAAAGAAAGCAAAGAACATTTATCTTTAGAAGAAGTAAAAAAAGATTTGGTTGAGCGTGATAAAAGAGACGAGTGAAATATTATCCAGGCTGAAAAAAGTGGAATAAAAATTGACACTAGCAATCTAACTTCGGCAGAAAGTATTGAAAAATTATATGAGTTATATCAAAAAAATTAAATATTTGAAATTTGAATATTTGCCTGCCTATGGAGAAAACAGCAACGATAATAATAGAAACTAGTTCTTCCGAAAAAAGTTCTTCTTCTGATGACCATGACGATACTGATAATGACCAAGTTTATGACTACGAAGACTACGAATATGAAGAATAAAGAGAGAAAATTAATCTATATAATGACTGAAAGGCAAAATAATTTATATTTATTCTAGATGACAAACAAATAGTTTTCTTTTCTAGTTTTTTAATTTTTTCTTACTACTCATTAATTACACTTTAAAATTAATTTAATTCAATCTTTTGATCATTATTTTGTTCGATATTGATTAATGTCTAACTCTGTTTCTTTAGCCTTTTCTCTCTTTTTCTTGTTTTTCTTTTTTCTAGATTTTTGTGTCAACTATAATGACAGGGAGCAAAATTTTGAACATGTTTTTTGATAAGATTCATTTTTTCCTTGGATGAAATTTTTAATTTTTTTCGCTTATTTCTTACTAAATCAGTTATTAGTTTAAGTGGTAATTTTAAGGCTGACAGTATGTTCATTTAAATATTGAGGGTTGACATATGGATCATTTTTAACAAAAGTTTATCAGTTTTTTGTAAAATTTTTTATATAGGAATAGTTATCCTATATTAATATTAAGTAAAGAAAAGATATAAATAAATGCCTATGGAGAAAACAGATGCGATAACGAAAAGGAATATTAATTAAGAAAAAACAAAACAATTAAGGAACTTATTAGTATTTCTAAAAAATATAATATTTGGTGTTTCACACAAGAAACATTAATGAATAATATTTCTTTCCTTAATTGTCTAGGGCTAAACTAGTTAAGTTAGCAAATCAAATAACATAATAATAAAATAAATAATAATAATAAATCTTATGGTAAATGAAAATTTAATACCTGAAACTGTTTACGAACTAAAAGAAGAATACAAAATTCCTAGTTTTGAGGAATTTATGCAGGATTATGAATATGATGATAATCTTAGTTATGATGATCTAACTAGTTGAAATCTTGGTGAAACAAAAGGCTATGGACCTTGTTCTTACAGTGAATATGAAGTCGACTCTTGGAAAGTAGGGGGGAGACATATAAAAAGGTGTGGAGATTCAGGATGTAGTTATTATCGACGAATAGTTGGAAATAGAACGACTGGAACCCTTGGAACTGTTGCTAGTATTGGTGCAGGGACTGGTTTCTATTTTGGTGCTTTGGCGTTGTCTCCGTTTACAGGTGGTGCATCGTTAGTAGCGGCAGCAGCTTTAGGTAGCACTGCTTCGGTTGGTATAGCTGCGGGTGGAACTGCTCTAGTTATAAATGCTTCAGCTGAAACTTTAAATGAAATAGAAAATGAGTTAAGATCAGAGTGATTAAAAGAGGAAAGAGAACAAGAAAGAGCTAGGGCTAGAGAAGAAGAAAGAACTAGAGAAAGGGAAAAAACTAGAAAGATTAACAATTTAAAGGGTCAGTTAGATGAAAAAAAGAGAAAGTTAGAGGAAGCAATTGAAAAAATGGACAGTTGCAAAAGCGATAGTGATTACATGAGAGAAAAGGGTGAAAAAGAAAGATTA